ATGAACTGCAAGACCTGCAGCTTTGCAGAGAATCAATTATAACCTTTGAGCAGTTGACTCGCTAGGGCAGCTTATATAGGCTCTTGGATCTTTAAAAGATGGAATGCTACATCAAATTAGAAAAGGAAGGAATTAACATAGTATTTGCCATATACAGTTCTTTATTTAAAGAAAAAAAAGATGATATAACCAAATCACCATAAGTCATTATGGTGGAAATGTAGAAATAGCAAAATGATTATTCCTTTTTATTTGGCACAATAAAGTTCACACAGAACTTATCTACTATGAGCTTTCCAATATCCAATTATTTTTGATCTGCAAAAATGACAAGTGCATATGGCTAACCTAATTGTTACTAAAGCAAAGGTAATTAATTGAGTCACTGTCTCAATTAATAAATGGATACATAGAGTTGAATATTTGTGGTATATTTTTGTCAAATAGTTGCATAGGAAAGCTATGTAAAGAAACATTTTAGGGGAGGACATAAATTGTCAGTAGCATTTGCTATCTTCAAGCTTAGCTACAAATCTAGCAGCTGGTTTCTCTCACTCAGGAGTGATTCAAACCTATGCAATTCTTTAACTTCAAAACAGGGTATCAGTTTATGCTTGCTAACTAATATTGTGTCCATTTTGAAATTTCACTGAGTTGTCATTTTACTTGCTATATTTTTGGCTTTTTTTTTCTTGGCCCTAGGAATTATTTCCGATGCAGGTAACTCAAGATTAATGGGACTTTTCTTTCTGTCTTTCTTTTTTCTTTTAAAAATATATAACTTTATTTTAATTTCAGAGAGAAAGGGAGAGGGAGAGATAGAAACATCAATGATGAGAAAGAGAATCATTGATTGGCTGCCTCCTGTACATCCCTTACTCTGGATCGAGCCTGCAACCTGGGCATCTGCCCTTGATTGGAATCAAACAGGCACCATTCGGTCCACAGGCTGATGCTCTATCCATTGAGCCAAACCAGCTAAAGCAATGGGACATTTCTTAAATGTTATATAAGTAACTATGTTACTGACTTAAAGATGATAAAAATTGCTTTTTTCTCAAATAAGCTCTTGATTTTATTTAGACTTTAAAGGTTTTCTTCTGGAAACATTAGCATACCTTGAGGAATTTACTAACTATGGCTTTCCATGTAGTATTATTAGCAATTAATGAAGTAAGGTTTTGCTGATATCTTTAGAGACTATTAAGCAACAATGTTCATCAGATTATGAAGCTTTGTGCCTTTCTATTTTTAAGAAGCTATTTCATCTTAACAGAATATCCCACTTCCATTGGCTAATGTTAGAAATACAAAATCATTATCTAAAGTAATTATTTCATATGACTGGTCTTTAAACGTTATCAGCTATAACAGAATTACTGAATTGAATTAATAGCAATTTATTGGATGTATTTCAAATATATTCTAACTAAATGTTATACCTGTCATATTAAAAAAAATTCATTGTTGAAAGTAGATCCTCCTACCCCCACCCATTAACATCTTCCAGCCTGCTCCTGACCCCCAACCCCAGGCCCTCATCACCCCATTGTCTGTTTCCATGGGTTATTATGTCTGTCGTTTTTATTTAAAAAATATTTTTATTGATTTCAGAGAGGAAGGGAGATGGAGAAAAAGATAGAAACATCAATGGTGAATGAGAATCATTGATTGGCTGCCTCTTGCATGACTCTCCCCCCCACCCAGCCGCCCCCCCCTCCCATCCGGGGATCAAGTCACTAGCCCAAGTATGTGCCCTTGACGAGAATCATACCAAAACCATTTAGAAAAGTGTTAAAATACCTCAAATCTATGTAGGTTGTATCACCTCAGAATCTGAAAGTCATTTTGGATACTGCCATTTAAGTATTATCCCAGTATCCCTCAGGTTTAAGGAAGAAAGTGAAAGTTTAAAAATATGTTTTCTAGGCTTTTAACCCATAAACCACAGAAGTAGGAAGAGAATGTATGTCTAGGAGTCATGTATTAGACCAGGAGATGAAAATTCAAATACCTCATTTGACCCAGTAATACCACTTCTAGGAATATATCCCAAGAAGCTAGAAACATCAATCAGTAAGGATATATGCACCTCTATGTTCATAGCAGCACAATTTACCATAGCTAAGATCAGGAAACATCCTAAGTACCCATCAGCAGATGAGTGGATTAAAAGTCTGTGGTATATCTACACAATGGAATACTATACTGCACTAAAAAAGAAGGAATTTCGACCATTTGCAGCAACATGGATGGAACTGGAGAGCATTATGCTAAGTGAAATAAGGCAGTCAATGAATGAAAAATACCATATGATCTCACTCATTTGTGGAATATAAAGAGCATTATAAACTGATGAACAAAAACAGATCCAGAGACAGGGAAGCATCGATTAGACTGTCAAACCTCAGAGGGAAAATAGGGGAAGGTGGGATAAGTGGGAGAGATCAACCAAAGGACTTGTATGCATGCATATAAGCCAAACCAGTGGACACAGACTCCAGGGGGGTGAGGGCATGAGTGGGGGTGGGTTGGGAAGGTAATGGGAGGATGAGGACAAATATGTAATACCTTAATCAGTAAAGAAATTAAAATGCAAAAAAAAAAAAATCAAATACCTTCACTGGAGCCACAGAGCACTCAGATGAGTGGAGGCGGCCTTGAGTCTCATGATTGGAAAAAGAGAAAGGGCTGAGAAATGTGAAGAACTTAAAGGCAAATAGCCATCATCTAGCTTTCAGACTATTGTCCTACGGAAACATGGTTCCAGTGAAACCAGATACTGTGATTTTCAAAAGTTTACAGTTTTATATAATATAATCACCTATTTAAATATTGGTAATTAATTCAAATTTTAATCTCTGTGGATCAAATAAAACACATCAGTGGGCTGTTAGGAAGCAACCTCCGGATGAGATTCTAACATCCTCTGTAGATATACAAATGCTATTAAAAATGAAGGATGTTGACATGCTGTCCTTCATTAATATTTATGACCACTCAAAGGAAATATTTATAAGAAAACTAGGATATTTCATTAATCAACAGATAGTAGGTGCCCAGTAGGTTGCCACAACATATTCATTACTAATAATATATTTATTACTTTAGTATGTAATGAATATTCATATTCATTAAGAAGGGTAGATGTAGGCACCTGATTTCTCTACTTTGTAAACAGGTTAGTTGAGGCAAAAATAGAATTTCTCGATGGGGTTGTAAATTATTGGCAATAAAATATTAAGAAAGGATCAGAGTTGTATATAGGAATGATTCTATAAAAGCTGAAGGTAGAATAAGAATACTTTTCAAGTTATGTATAGCGTCATGTATTGTTATATTATACAAAATGGGGGAGAGGGTAGATAATATGAAGAAGAGAAAATGTAAATATTTCATTACTCTAGATTGTAACTTTCAAATTGAAATGTTATGATTGACGAAGTTGAAAGGAAAATTTTATATAGATTTAGGTTAAGAAACAAAAACATGGAGAAATAAACAGATGCTATGAAATAATTTGTAGTTCCCTGGAGGGTGAGGAGAGAAATTTACAGAATCATGGAGCACACTGTGTCATGTAGTTTCTCCAGACAATACACAGCATCTGGTCAACAGATAAAGCACAGGACAAGGAGTAAGGGCCCGCTTCTGTTTCTGTCATTTGATTGCTCTGGGACCAGAGGAACATAGGGTCATCTTTTTGAACTCAGGTCACCCTCGATGTTAAAGACAATGTGTTTCCCAGAGGCATTTTGTGCATCAGTTTTGACATCTCTAAACTACTTGCAGAATTTTAAAATTAAGGCTCCCACAAAAGCAGGGGATGCTATTCTCTCTCTCCATAATTTACAGATTTTTAATGAAGACTTGAGCTGGCCAGCCACCAGTCAGATGCCTATTGAAAAATTCTTGTTTGCTTTCCATTTCTGCTCATCTCCAAACCCATCATGTTCGTTTCCAAGCAATGTTCTCTTTATACTCTTTTTCATTGCATATCATTCAAATGAAAAAGCAGCTGTAGGCAGATTCATTATTTAAATCACAGTCTCTATAACTCTCATTTGGAAATTGAGGCATCCATATATGTCAGGCTGCAGTTGGGGAAAAAGATGAAGAAGTTCCATGCAACAATCTAAGGGCCCAGCCATCAAGCAGGAATTACATGAAGTTCATTTTCTTTGTATCCTTTACAAGTTTTCCTCCATTAGTTTTGAGTCAGATACTAATTGTATATATTATTCATATAATTATTTATTCTTTAGAAAAATATAACATAAATGAGAAATTTGAGGATTAAATTTATAGGTAAAAGTATACTTATCCCTGCTTTAGAGTTTGATGAGCATTGTGGAAAATAATACTTTTTCTATGTACTCTAATTATATGCGACCCTCCACACCAAGTCCCCAAATAAAGATTAAAAAAAAAAAAGAGTCCACACCATATAGGAAAAAAAAATTCATTCTCTTCTATTAGCTAATGCCTGACTTTCAAGAAATTTGATGGGTTCATATTATTTAATATAATCTATTATCTGACCTTTTTGGGAATTTACCTCAGTAAATAAAATGTTCTCCTAGTTCCCATTAATTCATTGAATTACAAGAATATTTTGCATATATATATATTGCACATATATATGCATATATATGTGTGTGTGTGTGTGTGTGTGTGTGTGTGTGTGTGTGTGTGAATGCACGCACATTTATACATATCCACACAGGCACATATATAAATATACATTCATACACACACTATTTTTTTTTTTTTTAGTTTGAAGAGAGATGTAAAAATCAGAGGCTCTGGAATGCAAACAGAGAAGGAAGCATTATCTGCAAACACTTGGCAGCATTTTGCACACTGACTCCAACATGAGGCATGTATTCTTCATGGATATTAGCATAGCAGCAAAACCTTGCTGGGGAACCAAATGGATTGGTAAAACAAGCCAGTATTACAAGTTCTCGCCTCCAAAACAACTCCTACAAATACCGTACCTTCCGGAGGGGCTTGAGCTTGGTCTCCATTATGAAGTCATACTTGCAGAGCTCACAGCAGCGCGTGTCTGAGCTCTTGATCCACTGGTGGAGGCAGGACTGGTGGACAAAGCGCAGGGTGCCCGTGCAGCGACAGGGTGTGATGAGGGGGCTCTCTTCATCGCCTTCGCAGTGGCAAATCCTGGGGAAGGCAGAGCGGCCAGGGTGAGATCTCCCACCAATGGATTCCCTTCCTCATCCATCCCAGGCTGCGGTAGGAACTGCACCCTGAGCTTTAGAAGGCAGGACCATTTCATTCCAGCGTGATGCTAGAACTGCATCTATGACTGATATTAATTTTCTTTCATTTGCTCAGTCATTGCTCGACTCTTAAGTCATGTCAGGAGGCATGAACACTGCTACGCTTCTACACTGAGGCCAATTTTAACTGCACAACTATTGAGCTGTGCCCCAGCTTAATCTGTTTGACAGGTCAGTGTCTATGGCACATGCTTTCATACATAAAAGTTCTAAATTCCAAGTCTTCTAAGGAATGTTGCAATCTGATAACTTAATTCTTTTATTTTGATGATACTTTTACAGGGGCAGGGTGTATAATTTAGACATAGGGTAGTCTACCAATGAGGAAGAATTCTGAAAAATGTATCATATTACCAAAGAATAAAGTGAATACATAGCATCTCACCTAGAAAATATTATAAATATTTCCCTAGAAAGACGCACACAAATTTGGTCACAATGAGTGGCCTAAACAGTCATAGCCATCATGGTTTAAAAGTTACAAAAAGTACTGGTTGCATAAAGTTCAGTGCAGTAAATCCTATTGTTTTAAAATGTTAATTACTACATCTTCCAAGGAATTCAGAGTTCATCTAGTTTACTGAATTACTATGAATTTTAGAGCCAAAGATTCACAGTGTATAAAGTCATTACTCTCATCTTCAAATTTTAAAAAATAATTAGTTAACCTCAATGTGGTCCTTCAACAAATTCTTATGATTTAATCAGCTAATACCTTTAATTAGAAATATTTGCTTGAAATCTGTTCAGAATCAGGAATGGACATTGAAAATATATCTTTATAGTTACTTTTAGAGCCCAGTGGCAGTGGCGCCCTGTAAGAATGTTTAAATTGTTGCTACTGCTCTTTCTTTTCAGCCTGTGTGCTCTATTCTCCAGAAGCAGGAGTTCTAAAGAGTGGATCTTTAAATACACTTACATCTACCTCAGCTGCCTCCCCAGGGGAAATGAAATGGCTGCTCAGCTGGTTACGGCAGCAAGACACAGGAACCGAAACCCAGCCCTTCCCCAACCTCAAAATAAAGAAATATGACACAGGGCAGTAGTACTTGAATCTCCGTTTCTTAAGTGAAAATAAAGCAAGCAAAAGCAAACACTGACTTCTAAAGTCCTAGGGGTGGGAGTGTTGGGATGAGAGCACAGTCCTCCTTCTGGACCGAGCTAGGAAGGAACAGTGTGGGCTGTAGCAGCACCAATAAATGGCTGATGTGGTAGGGACAAACTGAAAATTATCTGAGAACCAAGTTTTAATATAAACCCCTGAAATACCTCCACTTTTCAGAGGTGTAGGTTGTAGGGATCAAGGCTTAGTATACACTGTATCACACCCGTTGCCAATAGAGTGTTGGTTGCACCACCAGGCTCAGGAGAAGACTGTTGAGCAAAGGAACTGTTCGGTGGACTCTGACTTACTATAAAAGCAATCAGTGAAAGCAAATAGGGTTTCTGTAGCACTTCATTTTGTTGTAATACTTATCCTTGGAGCCTTTGAAATCTAATGAATTATAGGGCATGAGAGGTTGATATTTCTTAAGTCCTCGAAACTCTTCTCTCCCTGCCTCCACACAAAGATATTCCCGTAGGTCAGGGGTCAGCAAACAATGGTCTAGTTCTTCCTGCTGTATGTTTTTGTAAGTAAAGTTTTATTGAAACATCAATACACACTGTATATGTAGTGTTCAGAGCTGTGTTTGCATTATACCTGCAGAATTGAGAGTTGTTGCAGGGACCATATGTGATATGTTGCAAAGACTAACATATTTACTGTCCATCCCTTTACAGAACCCATCTGCTTACCCCCTCCTTAAACATGGTGTTTATGAGTTAAAGACAATGCACAAGGATCATGAACAATAATAAAAATCCAGGTTACAAGAAACTACCTTAACTTTTATATTTTTCAACTTCGGCAAGGAACAGAGTTGAAGTAAAGGTTACATAGAGAAGCACACAATAAGTGAAAGTCCCCCTGACCTGGCATGGAAGCCTGCTGAACCATGAACAGTCTGCAGGGACAGGGGGCACACTTTCTCATTTGAAAAATAAAAACTAGCAGTTAAAGCCATCTGATAATTCATCACTAAAAAACAATTGTGTAAAAGGAATACGGCTCAGCCATAAGGAAAGATGAAACACTGCCATTTGTGACAACATGGATGGACCTGGAGAATATTATGCTAAGCAAAATAAATCAGACGAAAAAAAAATGTCAAGAACCATATGGTTTCACTCAGACGTGGGATATAAAACTGAAAGCAATGAATGAACATACAAGAAAAACAAAAACTCACAGACACAGACAACAGCATGGTGGATAGCAGGGGGCAGTGAGGTGGGGAGGGTAGTGAATAGTAAAAAGGATCGCATATATGGTAACAGAAAAAGATTTGACCTTGGGTGGTGGACACACAGTGCAATATACAGATGATGTATCACAGAATTGTACACGTAAAACTTACATAATTTTATTAAGCAATGTCACCCCAGTACATTTAATTTAAAAATGTCAAAAAGAAAATACGATTGTGTGAAAAGCTGCACAGCTGTCAAGATGATTCTGAGGCTCTGATTTTTTACTGACATGAAAACCGTAATCTATTCATAAGCGGATTTAAACAACTACCTTGATGGTTACTGAGTTCACACTGATCTGAACCGTGTACTGATTGCAGTCCAACTTACTGACGCCTTAAAAAAATTTTTTTCTGAAGTAGCACCAGCATTTTTTTTCCATAAAATTAAGATTATTTCCCACAGGAAAAATCCTAAAGAGCCTAATTCATTTTCATTCCCATTTCACAAGATTTGTTTTTACATTTTGAACTTTTCCCAAATTATCCCAATGATGTTGGATCCCAGGAGACTTTTTAAAAGCATATTGAGATTGTTCTAAAAGAATTTAAGAGCTAACTATAAACTTTGGGTATTACTAGAAATAAAAAACAATGTGATAATGCCATTACAGGAAGAATTAAACAATTCTTAAATTGATATACTTTGCACAAACTATAATTGTTAAGTTATAAATGAAAACATAAACATGCTTTTTTCCAAAAGAATAATTGTGTGCACAAAATGATTTCAACAAAGAAAATTGCATTGTAAAACATTCATAATTTTGATGTATGTTTACCTTATGGGAAATTATGGCTTATGATTTGAGTGATTCTATAAAATCATTGGTGAATTTCATTAGTGTCATATTTTTTGGCATTTTAGCATATGAACTGGCTGCTTAGAATTTAATCAGCATATATTCAGACTTTGACATTTTATAACTTGAATAAATTTTTACTTCTATATTATTTCTAGCTTTCTATGAAGAGCAGACCACAAAATACCATTTTTGGAATTAAAACTTGAAAATTTTGTGTGTGTGTGTGTGTGTGTGTGTGTGTGTGTGTGTGTACGCGCGTGCACGCACTTAAAGTTCCTTAATGTTTAAGTTTTAAGAAAAATAAGCTTTTTTGGTGTGAGGGGAGAATCTTATGTAGCTCAAAATGACCTCCAGTGCTTCCCACCCCTTCCCTTATCAAGGCTTCTTGGTTCTGGTAGAATAATTTTTTTCTGCATAAGTTAAAAAAATAATTTATCAGTGAAAAAAATATTCATAAAGGCCATAGTGATTATATAACTTTGGGAATTTCCCCCCCCCCCCAATTTATTCCTTTGTCATTGCATTCACTTACATTTTCTTGGTTCTTGCTATATGCAAAGAAAATTCAGATAATAGCATCATTATGTAGGGTAAATTGAGAGGGAGAGAAAAAGAATTTGCAGGCAGGTACCCCAATCATCTCGGTATTAAGAATCTGGAACACTGTGGTGACACTGAGGAGATGGGACACTTGGCCTGCAGAGCGTTCAGAGGTCCCGGGGACCTTGCTGGGTTTCGTGACTGGCTGTGGCTCCCTGCACATTGGTAATATGTGCCTCCAGGAGGAAGTCAACATCTGTAATCTTCAGACAGCACCTCACGTGCAGGCCTGTCAACTCTCGCTTCTCATGTTCCATGCCACATTTCCGTTTCTCCTTTTGGCAAATCTTTCTGGTATATCCCCTCACTTTCTTACCTACATTTTTTCTCCGTACTTCTCTCTAACTAAATAATCTTTAAGCACAGTGATTATGGATACTGCTATGTTTGTAATGTTTTCATTTGGATGTTTTTCTTTATTCAGAACTAATTATCATACTTCAGAGTTTGGCATTCGTTATTTGAATTCACTTTACTAAGCTAAATAAATGACTTTAAGACATGATGATCAGAGCCATATTGAAATACATTAAGCTGTGGGTGAGAAATTAGAGCTCAGGTAAGTGGGTGAGGCAGTATAATATCTCTTTTTGAGAAATACAGCAGAGCAATGAAAAGAGAGCAGACTAGATAAAGTTTTATTTTTAATTTCATTTTCTTTTAACAGATTTCTTATTCATATAGCAGAAGTGAAGGTGCCAAAGAGAGGGTTTCCTTTAAAAAAAAAGGCACATAGACAAGAGAATACCCCATTGTTAAATGAAGGTTTTTGAGAAGTTTAGACAGTATGCGGCAAGAAAGTATGGTAGAGAATTATCTTTGCAGGGAAGCAGACACAGTTTCCTGTGAGCAAGAGGTAGAAAAAAAAATGACAGTGAACATCAGAGGGGGTGGAGGCGGCGGAAATCTCAGTGGCTGGGTCTGGGAGGTCTGAATATCTTCCATGATATAGGACACATGTAGACTAAACAGATGGCAGAAGGCAGAAGGTTAAGGTCTTATAGAGGCTGTAAATAATTAGAAAGTGCCACTTGGAGAATGTAATGGAAAATTAGCCAAGCATGAATATTAGAAATGTGGAGCAGCTTCGGGGTGCCCAGTGAGATGAGACAGCACAGATTTAT